CCCCCTCTCCACCTTCCCCCCCTCCACATCCCCCCTCTCCACCTTCCCCCCCTCCACCCCCCTCTCCACCTTCCCCCCCTCCACATCCCCCTCTCCACCTTCCCCCCTCCACATCCCCCCTCTCCACCTTCCCCCCCCTCCACATCCCCCCTCTCCACCTTCCCCCCCTCCACATCCCCCCTCTCCACCTTCCCCCCCTCCACATCCCCCCTCTCCACCTTCCCCCCCTCCACATCCCCCCTCTCCACCTCCACCCCACTCACCGCCCCTCTCACCCTCCTCGCCCCTCCGCCCATTCTTATTACCTCCGCATCCCTCCTCTCCCCTTCTCCTATCCCCCTCGCCCACATCTGATCCCCCTTCCTGCGCCCCCTGTTTCTCTTGTCTGCCCCCTTCGCCCCCTTCTTCCCCTTCCCCTCTCACCTCCACTTCTCCTCCCAATTCCCCCTTCCCCCCTTCTTCCCCTTCCCCTCTCACCTCCTCTTCTCCTCCCAATTCCCCCTTCCCCCTTCTTCCCCTTCCCCTCCCACTTCCTCTTCTCCTCCGTCTCTCCGCTTTCCCATTGCACCTGCCCCTGGCCCTGCCACTTCTTTTTCTCCCCTCTCTTCCCTCTCTTCCATTCCACCTGCCCCTGCCTCATCTGCTGCCACACTCAGCACAGGGTCAGACGGCAAGTGTGTGTTGAAACTCGCAGCATGCACTGATGCATGCGCATCAGGAGCAGTATGAAGAACAGCATCAGGAGCATCAGCACCATTCTCCTCAACACTAACTCTTGCCGTGGCACGCTTGGTAGCAGCAGCACCACTGGCCTTCATCCACGGCTCTGAACAAGCTCCAGAAGCATCCCTGATGGCGCTTGCAATGCTGGCAGCAGCAACGGTGGCAGTGGCAGTACCAACAGCACCACTGGCAGCAATGGTGGCCCCATTGGGACGGCCAGAGTATGCGGCAGAGGGTGGTGACGGGGCATGCGGTGGGGAGGGCGAGTCTGTGAAGAGCGCTCTGGCTGTGGCGGATGGCACGCGACGACCTGGGAACTGCTGTGCCAGCACACACCCCGCTGCTGCTACCGCTATTGCTGGTGCTGCGGCTATCGCTGGTGCTGCTGCTACTTCTTCTGCTGCTGCTGCAGGCACTGGTACTGATGCTGCTCCTTCTCTGACTGATCCAATAGAGGCAGCCGCCCATGCTTCATCCAATAGGATGCTGCCACGTGGCATGCTGCAATGCGTGCACTGCTGGCCTCCATTCACGGGCTTCACTCCATAAAGCCCCAGCTGCTCATCGCCCAAAGCAGCACCTCCTGCCACATTCAATGGGCATGCATGCAGCACGCATGTAGTGCTTATAAGAGCTCTTTTCGAGCTCTCATGAAGCTGCCTATCCTCGAAGGCAGCATCTCCTAATACCTCCGATGGGCATGCATGCAGCGTGGCTGCAGCAGACAGCCCACCGCCCCTCCCTTGCATGTCAGAACTGGTCGAACCAATCCAGTCCGCCGCTGTCAAGGTCGCCCCCCCACGTGACAAATCCTCAAGCCCCATCTCACCATACTCACACCCAAAGGCCTCGTTGTACTCACCCTCTCCGTCCCCTGCAAAGCACATTGCATCTCCTGCTGCTGCTGCAGCAGCGTCTGAGATTGCAACCTGCTCGCCTGGGAGGGAAGAGGGCTCGTTGTTGCTGCCAGCGATGCCAGTGGTGCCAGTGGTGGTGATACCGGTGCTGCTACTGTAGGGGGGGCATACCCGTTTCCCGACCTCTTGTTGCTGTTGTCTGCGCCGGTCTGGGAGTCAAAGCAGACAATGTTGTTGTTGTCCGGGCCCTTGTTGTTGCTGTCCATCATACCGCAGACGCCTTCCCTAGTTGCAGCGTTAGGCGCATACATGGACGGCTTCATATCTTGTGCTGCAAATTGCTGTTGCTGCTGCTGCACTTGCTGCTGCTGTTGCTGCTGCTGCTGCTGGTCCTGCTGCCGCAGGGAGAACCCTTCCAGCTGCTGCTCCTCGCGCTTCACAACCCCAAAAGGAGGGCTCACAGCGTCCAGGAACGCACCCCCCACCCCCATCACCATGCTGCCTGGGGGACTCACTGCACCCGGCGGGGGACTCACCACCTGACAGCGCACCTGAATTACCTCCTGCGGCCCCTGTGCCTGCACCTGTGCTTCCCCTGAACCTGCCCTTGAACCTGCCCTTGCCCCTGCGAGTCCTGGGTTGCTGGAGTGCAGGAGGAGTGGAGGGCACGGCGCACCCCAGAGCTCCTCTCCACCTCCGCCTCTGCTGCCGCCCGCCACTGCACCCGCTGCCTCTGCTGCTGCGCCTCCAGCATTTGCTGTTGCTGCTGCTGTTGCAGCAGATCGTGGTGAGAAGACATCACACTTTTCTGCTGGTGCTGCTGCTGCTGCTGGTGCTGCTGCTGCTGCTGCTGCTGCTGGTGCTGCTGCTGCTGCTGCTGCTGCTGCTGGTGCTGCTGGTGCTGCTGCTGCTGGTGCTGCTGCTGCTGCTGCTGCTGCTGCTGCTGCTGCTGCTGCTGCTGTGTGGCAGCCATGATCTGCTGGGCGGCAAGGCTCTGTGTGGCAGGCAAAGGCAGGAGGTGTGCTCCGCTGCTGCTTGTGAACCCAGCGCCCTGCAGGGGATATCCAAGAGCACGGAGAGGGGTGGGGGGAGGGGTGGGGCGAGGGGTGGGAGAGGGGTGGGGAGAGGGGTGGGGAGAGGGGCGGGGAGAGGGGCGGGGAGAGGGGAGGGGAGCGGGGAGTGGAGAGGGATGGGGAGAGGGGTGGGGAGAGGGGTGGGGAGAGGGGTGGGAAGAGGGGTGGGGAGAGGGGTGGGAAGAGGGGTGGGAAGAGGGGTGGGAGAGGGGTGGGGAGAGGGGTGGGAAGAGGGGTGGGAAGAGGGGTGGGGAGAGGGGTGGGGAGGGAGGGGAGGGAAGAGGGGTGGGGAGAGGGGTGGGGAGAGGGGTGGGAAGAGGGGTGGGGAGAGGGGTAGGAAGAGGGGTGGGAAGAGGGGTGGGGAGAGGGGAGGGGAGAGGGGAGGGAAGAGGGGTGGGGAGAGGGGTGGGAAGATTGGTGGGAAGAGGGGCGGGGAGAGGGGAGAGGAGAGGGGAGGGGAGCGGGGAGGGGAAAGGGATGGGGAGAGGGATGGGGAGAGGGATGGGGAGAGGGGTGGGAAGAGGGGTGGGGAGAGGGGTAGGAAGAGGGGTGGGAAGAGGGGTGGGAAGAGGGGTGGGAGAGGGTGGGGAGAGGGGAGGGGAGGGGGAGGGGAGCGGGGAGGGGAGAGGGATGGGGAGAGGGATGGGGAGAGGGGTGGGGAGAGGGGAGGGGAGGGAGAGGGGAGGGGAGAGGGGAGGGGAGAGGGGAAGGGAGAGGGGAGGGGAGAGGGGAAGGGAGAGGGGAGGGAGAGGGGAGAGGGGAGGGGAGAGGGCATATAATTATTAGCATGAAAAGGCGTTAAGGACGAGGAGCGAAGAGGTAGATGAGGAAAGAGGGAAGGAAGGGATGAAACGAATAGGGCGAGAAAGGGTAGCAGGAGGCAAAGGGCGGCACTTATAGAGAACAGCACATGGCAGGTGGGAGCATGGCAGCTTACATAAGTAGGAGCTGCGGGCAGCATGTCATCGGCAGCAGGGAGGAAGCCTCCTGGCGCGCAGCTGTGCTGCTGCCTCCCCATCGCCTGCTGCGCTGCTCCCCCCTGCCCTGCCATCCCACGCCCCTCACTCTCTGCCGTGCCACCCTGGCTTGGCAGCATCCCTGCCTGACTAACCACCGCACCACCACCTTGCCCGGCACCCACGCTCATGGGATTCTGAATCTGAATCACGCCTCCTGTCCCTTGCACAGCAGTGGCCCCCTGCACCTGCACTGCTGCTTGCCACCCCTGCACCAAGTCTGCACCTCCTTGCCGCGGCCCTGGCCCCTGTGCAGCGCTCCACTGCTGCTGACCTGGCAGCGCATAGCCTTGACTCGCTTGACCTTGTTGACCCTGTTGACCCATTTGACCCTGTTGACCCATTTGACCCTGTTGACCCATTTGACCCGGTTGACCCATTTGACCCTGTTGACCCATTTGACCCTGTTGACCCATTTGACCCTGCTGACCCTGCAATCCCATCGGACCCATTTGGCCCATTTGGCCCATTTGGCCCATGGGTTGCTGCACCATGTGCTGTCCCATAGTCTGCACACCTACTTGCTGCCCATACACTTCACTCCTCACCACCCCTTCACGTGGCCTCTGAACCCCCACCAGCGAATGCCCCTGCCCTGCTGTCCCACCCGGCCCTGCTTCCACACCTCCACCCGCTGCTGCCCCTGCTGTTGACATCTCAACTGCTGCTGAGCTCACCGCCTGTGGAGCACCAAATCCGCCTGCCTGTGCTGTACCAGTCAGCCCTGTCCCCTCGCCCATTACACCGGAACCTTCACCTGTGCCTCCTGCTCCCCCTGCTGCACCAGCCGCCCCGTCCACTACCGAACCACCTCCAGGATCGGTTCTCTGCGCAGCATACCCCCGGCCTGTCTGGAACAAGGGTCGGAACGTCGCCGAGCCTGGGCTCGCCTGCACACCCAGCCCTCGCTGCACTCGCCCCACCGAGCCTGGGCTCGCTGGTACAGCCGGACCAGGACTGGCAGGCACGGCTGAGCCTGGGCTTGCAGGCACGGGCATGGCAGCATGGCCAATGGATGCAGGTGTGGTGGGTGCGCTGCTAGCCGTCGGATAAACCACCGTGCTCTGTGGAGCCATAGATGAGCTGTGGTGGGCAGATGGCATGCCATGATGCGGCGTTGACATGCTAGTGTGCGGTGCATTCCCAACCATAGCAGCAGCAGCACCATGCATGTGGGGCACGTGGGGCATGTGGGGCATGGGCGCCGCATGGGACATGCGGGTGACATGGGAGGTGCCACTGCCGCTTCTGGGAGTGGTGGACATGGCGCCTTGCTCCACCTCCCCTGCCGGCCCGCTGCACATGCCAAAGTCACCAGACACTGACACTGACCGTGATGCCCCCCCTGCTGCATCCGACGCTGCTGCCGAACCTGCCACCGAACCTGTGAACGGGGGCAGTGCAGGCGGAACGTGCCGTGAGGAGGAATGTTGAAGAAGCATGGCCTTCTAAGCCAATAGAAATGATAGAGAGGAACAGCATTGATTGGGTTGGGGTGTATAGGGATGGCTATCGGTCCACGTTCACATATATTGCAAGTTTGATAGTGAGAGGTTGCTTGTGCAAAGGTCAAGGGAAGAACTCAGGCACAAGGCAGAGAGAGGAGCGAGCAACACAGGAGCGGCGGAGGAGGGAGGGAGCGGGTGGGGTGAGGTGGGGGTTGGGGGGGGGAGGGGGAGGGTTTGAAAGAGAGCAAGACAGGAGGTACGCGCTAGACAGACAAGAGGCGGGGGGGAATCTGGGGGAAGGACTGGGCACCGGTCCAGTGGGAGGCGTTGGGCGTGGAGAGGCTGCCACAGAGCGACGCGGGCGTGCTGATGGGCGACGCATTCGTTGCCGCCCTCCCTGCTCCCCGTCCACCCCTGCCCCGCCCCACTGCAGCAAGGAGGGACCGGGCGGGTGGAGAGTTGGCGGACAGGGACAAGGACACGGGAGAGAGAGATGATATATGAAAGGGGCGCGGGCGGAAGAGGGGGGCGGGAGAGGGGATGGGTTTGGGATGGGTTTGGGAAAGGGGGAAGGTAGGGTTGGAAAGAGGCAGGGGGAAGGCAGTGGTGTGGTGATAGCGGCTATATGCATATGAAACAAGCAGCAAGGTTTAGCACATGGGGTACATGCTGACCAAGGGTTTGGGAAGGAAGCTACTACAGCAACGGTTGGGTACGGTGCAGAAGGATTCACACAGAGCAGAGCAGAGCAGAGAAGCACTCACTGGCTTTGGTATCCCTGCGTGCTCCACCATGCCCCGCCCCTCGCCCCTTGGGCACCCCCGCCGGCGGCAGCAGCCGATGACTCTCCCCCTCTCCTCCACCCGCCCCTCCTCTCCCCACTCCCCCAGCCCCCCCTCCTCCACCCCCACCTGTCACCACACTCCCTCCCGCAACCCCACCAACCCCCCCATCCCCTCCTCCACCCCCTCCCCCTCCCCCCCCTCCTCCCCCACCAGCCCCACCAGCAGCATGGATTTTCACCAGGGACCGGTACTGCAGGCGCACCTCATCAGCAGCGCCGTCGAGCGTGCGCACCATGTACCAGCCATTCAAGCACTGCGTGGTGATGATGGCCTTGCGCCCGATGAAGTGCTCCGGCGTGCGCTTGTTGCCCTTTATCAGCACCACGTCGTTCACCCGGAACGGGAATTGGGCCGTGCTGGAGGATCGGACTGGCCGCACTGGTGCGGGATGAGCAGGCTGCTGCGCGCCCTGCTGCTGGGGAGCCTCGGTGGAGGCTCGGAGGCTGGCGGCGGTGACCGAGCCTGGCGCAGCGTAGCTGGTTCGGGCCGGCCCAGGCAGGGTTTGGAGAGGGGAAGCGGGCTTGGAGGCAGCGGGAGAGGCGGAAGCGGCGAAGGAGGCGAGGAGGGATGCTCCCCCTCGGCCCCCCATGGGCGCTGCTGGTGGGGAGCTGGCTGCTGTGGCTGCGGCGGCGGCAGCGGCGACAGCAAAGGAGAGCGACGGGGAGTGCTGTGAGGCGGAGGAGGAGTGGTGGTGCGCGTGGGTGGGCGTGTCCGCGGATAGCTGGGGAGGCGGGTAGAATTGGGCGGGGGGGAAGAGGGGAGGAGGAACAGTGGGGGGGGAAAGCCATGGAGGCGTGAGAGAGAGGAGGGGGAACTGTGAGAAAACAAGCTCACTGCTATGCCACACTCGCATCGTGGACATGCCTCACAACAAAACTACCCATCTAACTTCACCGGCCTTCTCACCTGGGCAGCAGCGGCAGCAGCACCAGCCATGGAGGCAGCAGCGAGGGAGCAGGACTCTTTGAGTCGGCCCAAGCTCACTCACTGCCCTTCCTCACATCATACCCACCCATTCAACTCAGCAATGTGCACAACTTACCTGGGCGGCGGCGGCGGCGGCGGCAGCCATGGCGGCAGCAGCGAGGGAGCTGGACGCTTTGAGTCGGTTCAAACCCACCCATTCAACTTCACCAGGCAACCTACCTGGGCGGCGGCAGCAGCAGCAGCAGCCATGGCGGCGGCCAGCGAGGGAGCTGGACGCTTTGAGTCGGTTCAAACCCACCCATTCAACTTCACCAGGCAACCTACCTGGGCGGCGGCAGCAGCAGCAGCAGCCATGGCGGCGGCAGCGAGGGAGCTGGACGCTTTGAGTCGGTTCAAACCCACCCATTCAACTTCACCAGGCAACCTACCTGGGCGGCGGCAGCAGCAGCAGCAGCCATGGCGGCGGCAGCGAGGGAGCTGGACGCTTTGAGTCGGTTCAAACCCACCCATTCAACTTCACCAGGCAACCTACCTGGGCGGCGGCAGCAGCAGCAGCAGCCATGGCGGCGGCAGCGAGGGAGCTGGACGCTTTGAGTCGGTTCAAACCCACCCATTCAACTTCACCAGGCAACCTACCTGGGCGGCGGCAGCAGCAGCAGCAGCCATGGCGGCGGCAGCGAGGGAGCTGGACGCTTTGAGTCGGTTCAAACCCACCCATTCAACTTCACCAGGCAACCTACCTGGGCGGCGGCAGCAGCAGCAGCAGCCATGGCGGCGGCAGCAGCAGCAGCAGCCATGGCGGCGGCAGCGAGGGAGCTGGACGCTTTGAGTCGGTTCAAACCCACCCATTCAACTTCACTAGGCAACCTACCTGGGCGGCGGCAGCAGCAGCAGCAGCCATGGCGGCGGCAGCGAGGGAGCTGGACTCGCGGCGGAAGGCGGCGACAGCGGCACGCAGCGTGAGGTTGGGGGTAAGCGTGGCGGCGTCTATGTGCGCGCCACACTCGGGACACGTGCTCTGGGGGGGCGAAGGGGAGGAGTGGGGTTGGAGGGGTTGAAGAAGGCAGGCAGCATGAGAGGTGACGATACTTGCGATGCAGTGGTGGGAGCGGATGCTAGGTTGTGAGATGATGGTGGCGAGGAGGTGAGCGAATGGTTCAGTGAAACGATGGTGGATTGGGTGCAGTGAGAGCCGAGGCAACACACACAGGCAAGTGGGTGCAGTGGGGTTTAAATAGGGATTGTGGAGCAGAGTGAGAAGGTGGAAGGTGGAAGGTGGGAGTTGGAAGGACACTTGGTGCTCACTGATTCGCGCACAACTGCCAGTGTTGCCCCTCCGAAGGAATGGCCGCAGCACCCCACCACAGCGTCATCAAGCAAGCGACCCCTGTGTGCACATTGGGGATATGCATGCACAAACGCACGGGCACACACGCACGCACACGCGCACGCACGCATGCACACGCGCGCGCGCGCGCGCACACACACAAACGCATGCGCGAACCCACGCACGCACACACACGCACACGCCACACAAAGACAGGTCCGACAATTGCTGCCATAAAAAAGGAAGGGAAAAGGCAGCAGACAGTCACGGACGCCAGGCAAAAGCAGGCGGTGCTCCCACGACACACGGACTGCCCAGAAGCCACAAAGAAATGTGTGCTCGCTCAACTGAAAATGCTTCAGTCGAAGCACTCTGCACCACATAAACAGAGCAACTGAGCCACACTGCGCTCATCATGCATGCACTCACATGCAACAGCACGACCAAGCACTCACGCGAGAGGGTCGCTGCACTCACGTGAGGGGGTTACTGCACTCACGTGAGGGGGTTACTGCACTCACGCGAGCGGGTTACTGCACTCACGTGAGGGGGTTACTGCACTCACGTGAGGGGGTTACACTCACGTGAGGGGGTCACTGCACTCACGTGAGGGGGTTACTGCACTCACGTGAGGGGGTTACTGCACTCACGTGAGGGGGTTACTGCACTCACGTGAGGGGGTTACTGCACTCACGTGAGGGGGTCACTGCACTCACGTGAGGGGGTCACTGCACTCACGTGAGGGGGTTACTGCACTCACGTGAGGGGGTTACTGCACTCACGTGAGGGGGTTACTGCACTCACGTGAGGGGGTCACTGCACTCACGTGAGGGGGTCACTGCACTCACGTGAGGGGGTCACTGCACTCACGTGAGGGGGTCACTGCACTCACGTGAGGGGGTCACTGCACTCACGTGAGGGGGTCACTGCACTCACGTGAGGGGGTCACTGCACTCACGTGAGGGGGTTACTGCACTCACGTGAGGGGGTCACTGCACTCACGTGAGGGGGTCACTGCACTCACGTGAGGGGGTCACTGCACTCACGTGAGGGGGTCACTGCACTCACGTGAGGGGGTCACTGCACTCACGTGAGGGGGTCACTGCACTCACGTGAGGGGGTCACTGCACTCACGTGAGGGGGTCACTGCACTCACGTGAGGGGGTCACTGCACTCACGTGAGGGGGTCACTGCACTCACGTGAGGGGGTCACTGCACTCACGTGAGGGGGTCACTGCACTCACGTGAGGGGGTCACTGCACTCACGTGAGGGGGTCACTGCACTCACGTGAGGGGGTCACTGCACTCACGTGAGGGGGTCACTGCACTCACGTGCACTCACGTGAGGGGGTCACTGCACTCACGTGAGGGGGTCACTGCACTCACGTGAGGGGGTCACTGCACTCACGTGAGGGGGTCACTGCACTCACGTGAGGGGGTCACTGCACTCACGTGAGGGGGTCACTGCACTCACGTGAGGGGGTCGCTGAGCACGTCCCTAAGGCGGGGTTCATTGGAGGCAGCGCCTCTGCCAGCCCCCGTGAGGCCTGCCAGTGCAGCCGACAGCTGCGCATTGCTGCCCCCCGCTGCTGCCAGCGCTGCTGACAGCTGCGCACCCCCTGCTCCCGCTGCCCCTCCGCCCCCGCCTGCTGCTGCGGCTGCCAGTGCTTCTGACAACTGTGACGCACTCTCTGCCGCACCTCCTCCCGCACCTACTGCTGAAGCAAGGGGTTGCTGCACGTTGCTGCTCCCTGCGCCTGCTGCTCTTGTGGGTGATGATTTTGTTCCTGCAGTTGCCGCAGCTCCTGCTCCCACTGCTGGTGCTGCAGCGAAAGAGGCCATGTGTTGTGAGGCAGCAGCCCCCGTCAGTGCGCCCTGTTGCTGGCCTGTGCTAGTTGTTCCCGCATGGCCTGGTGCAACCCTACTTGTGATGAGCTTCGTTGCAGGATTCGAAACGGGGCTTGTAACACGATTCGAAACGGGGCTTGTAACGGGATTTGATACTGGACTTGTAACGGGACGCGTAGCAAGTTTTGCAGCAGGGCTGACAGCAGGCGAGCACGTGGCAGGTAGGCCAGTACGCTGAGTGGCATACAGAGCAGATGCAACGACAGGCCCTGCTGGTGCAATCGCACTGGACAAGCCACTGTAGCCCACTGCACACGTGGCAGCAGAAGCATGCGCACTCGCTGCTCCCCCTTCTGCTGACGTGGCTTCCGATGCTGGAACTAAAGGCTGTGTCAAGCACGCCTGGTGCGGTGACGCATTTCGGCGAGGAGGTGAGAGGCTCGCAGAGGGATCTGATGGAGAAAAACAAGTGGCAGCGCATGCAGAGACAGGCGGAGCAGCAGATGGTGCATCTGCTGAAAAAGTGGGATCCCTACAACAAGGATTGCGAGGGGAACCGATTTGCACCGCGTGGTGCAACACTGTGCCTTGCTGCAGCGGCCCGTGAGCTGCCAGTATGTGCTGATGCGCACTGGTGGTGTGTGGCACTCTCCATTCACCACTGCCAGCCCCAGCAGCAACAGTTGCTGCTGCTCCACCAGCCGCCACAGCAGCAGGAATTGCAGCAGGAGGCGTGTTGGTGAGAGAAGCGGCGAGAGCAGCAGGAGGTGGTGCTGCGATGCCAGGTGGTGGTGGTGTGGCTGGGGACGATGCTCCGCGAGCAGCAGATGCAGGCGCTGGATCAAAACACTCTCTCTTGGGAGATTCTGTCCCCGCACGCTCCCCCTCTGCTGTGGCTTGCGGTGAAGAGAGGGTGTTTCCAGGGCCTACATTGTGTGGGCGTGCTGATGTGAAGCCATCCGCTTGTGATGCGATTGGATCCTGTGCCTGCACTTGTTGTCGTTGCTGCAGTTGGTGTTGCTGCTGCTGTTGCTGTTGCTGTTGCTGTTGCTGCTGCTGATGATGTTGTTGCTGCAGCTGCTGTTGCTGTAGTCGTTGCTGCTGTAGCTGTTGCTGCTGCTGCAGCTGTGGTTGATCTTGTTGTGCTTGCTGCTGTTGTTGCTGCTGATGCTGCTGCAACTGCAGCTGATGCTGCTGATCCTGCTGCTGCAGGTACAGCTGTTGCTGCAGCTGTTGGAGCGCCAAGGACGACAGCTCCTGCACGTGAGCAGGCGTGTGACCGTTGAAGGTGCCCTCATTTACTGCGCCTGCGCGCACAAGAGACAGGGAGAAGGGAGACGAGACGAGAGGAGAGAGAAAGTTGACGAGCGGATTTTCTAGTCCTGCATGTGGGCTGGCGTGTGAGCGTTGACAGTGCCCTCACTCACTGCGCCTGCGCACAAGGAACAGGTGGCGAGAGGAGAGAGAAAGGTGAGAGAGCTGGCGTGTGAGCGAGGAAGGTGCTCTCACTGACTGCGCCTGCGCACGAGATAAAGAGGACGAGAGCAGGGAGGAAGGAGAAGAGAGCAGGAGCCTAAAGCAGAGAGAACAAGAAGACAGACGACACGAGGGAAGAGAGATCGCATGAATGCGGAACAGCATCAGATAACAGCAGAGAACACGCGGATCCAGATGGTTAGCTTTGGCGGAGTGCAGATCGAACGCCAACCAACAATTTTTGCAGCAGCAGCAAGGGAGGGACAGCGCGGATT